CATGAACAGACTTATAAAATGTGTACCATCGTGTCTGTATGCTAATGCAGGTTTAGAAAAACTAGACTGCTTTGCATTTGGGAGATGATCTATAGCTCCTCTTTGAAATAACTTTGCTAAAGCGAAAAAGGGGGAGGGAGCTCATTTGGAGAAAAATATTAAGTCTTGATTTCCGGTGCTATTACAGAGAGTGGCTGACTATGTCAACAGTTTGAGGGTGGGCCTCAGAGACCTCCAAGGAATCCACAGAGACACCTCACCTCCCGACAGTGCCTGAAGTAACTCGCCTCCAGCCCCTTCTTCTGCCACATTAGCTTCAAGGGACCCACATCGGGGGGACTGGTGAATGCGGAGATAAGCCCACAAGTTTCACCCCAGTAGGAGAGCAAAGTATGGGGGTGGCGCCTTCACCCCCAGCAAGCGCCCCTTGCAAGTGGCTCCCCAGTGGGGTTATGGGTGGTGGCTTCCTCCTCGTGGTGCCGGAGGAACCGCGTGGCAGAGGCTGGGGCTGTACACATGGCTGTTCTCTCATTTAGTGGTGTCGTTCCCCCCACGCCTGCTGGTACCCGGAGAGCCTTCCTCCCCGGCCCGCCTCAGAACCCTCGCTTCATCTGTGAGTGCCCGCTGGTTTCTGTATTCCACATCATCGGATGGTCTGTTATGGGAATGTCTGTCCTGACTTTCCTTATCACGTGTCATTCCTTGCCCTCCTTCCCCTTTGCTGTAAGAGGTGACATTCCAAGGCCTCCCTGGTGGCACAGAGGTTAAGTCTCAGCACTATGAAGCGATGAGCAGCCACTGCAGCCTGAGTGCAAGCCCCGGCCGGGGAGCTGACCCACACGGCGCAGCAGACCTCTCCTGTCTCCCCGCTGCTCCCCTCAGCAGTGGATTTCAGTAGATCCTCCTGTTCTGCTCCCCACTTTGGTGAGTCTTTTCACCCTCCACCTCTCTGGCCTGCACCCCAGTTCTTGTATGCATACATAAATAAAATAAATCTATTTTTAAGAAAACAAGAGGAGACATTTCATCTGCACCCATGATGCGGAGAGACCAGCCTCCTGGTCCGTCCTCGGCACATGGTGGACACACAACCACACCCCAGCTGTGGTGAACACCTGCTGGGGACACCATGGAACCTGTTGATTTTGAGTTGAGGGTTTACCGTTCCTCAGATGGGTGCCCAGGAGTGGGTGGAGTCACCAGCACCCCGTTTTAGGCTGTACCTTGTTCTCTCCCAGCACCTCTCCCCCAAACCATTTCAGCGGCTGCCCCGTCATTCGCTCTGGTGTGGGTTATGGCCTGTCTCTTCCAGCTGGGACAACTCAGCTTCCCGACGTGTTCCCACACATTTGCCGGGTCAAATCAGCAGGAATGCAGATTTCCGAGGCAGCTCTTGCTTTGATGCCAGCATCACGTCGGGGAGCCAGAGCTGCCATCCAGCTCTGCTCCCAGCAGGTTGTGTCCCGACGGCGGACTCTGCCCCGGCCTCCTTTGCAGCACCTGGGTGGTATCTTCATCCTCACGGTGCCCCAAAGGTGTCTGTCCTCCACCTCCCCTTCCCACATGGCACAGCGGAGTGACCACCGACCCTGACCTCCCCTCAACACAAGGTCACAGGCTGAGGAATGAGGACTCAGCCCTTCGGCACAGGGATCTGGGAGAAAGCACCGCTCCCCCCAGATGGCGCTGATTGCATTTTTTCTTTCCCCACAGTCTCCAGGCCACTCTGCCCCCAGCAGACTCAGCCTAACAGCTGGAGATGAAGCAGTCCCAGGGCCCACCCCTATACACCCAGCAAGCGCCCCATGCAAAATCCTCCCCAGCCCTGCCACCTCAGTGGCTTCAAAAAGCTCCGAAGAGAGCACTTCCCATGGAGAGCATGGCTGACCCTGAGAGACAGTGCAAATTAGACTTCCCGCCTCCACGGCTTGTACTTGGTATTGATTTTCTCTAAGGAGCATTTGATCATCCCTGCATTACCTGAGACAAGCATGTGTTTGAAGAGAGGGTGCTTTTTTTTTTTTTTTTTTTTTGGTGTTTAACTGAGCAATTGAACAGCAGCAATCTGTAAATGTATGTGGTGTGCAGGACTGAGGCTCCCCCTGGCAGGACTTGGGGCTCACCAGGCAACCCTAGGGCTCCCAGGAAGGACTGGAGCTCCCCAGGAAGAACTTGGGTTCCCCAGGCAATACTGGGGCTCCCTGGGCAGGATAGGGCTCCCTGGGCAGGGGCTCAGCCAGTACTGAGTAGAAGGAACACTGTGTCCAGCATGGCAGCAGGAGGAGTTGTGATGAACATGGGGAACTCCCAAGGGGTCTCCCTGGGTGGGCACCCACTTTGGCCACACCCTATCACCTGTTGGCTGTTCCCAGCATGCAGGGCTCATAGTCTGAAGGGCCCAAAAAGCTCTGGGTTTCAGGGATGCAAGGTCACCCCAGCATCACGGACCTTCCAGTGAGGCCGGGCTGATCTCCAGCTCACCGAGTCTCTCCACAAACTCTGGCAAAATGACTTCTCTGGGACCCACATGCCTGCAGCAGCTGGTTCCTTGAACCCTGCAAGCTCCTCAAAAAAGCATCTCATGAGTGAAATCTGTGTCCAAGCCTCTGTCGGCATCCTCCCCAGCGGGGTACACCCTCCCTGGACACAAAGTCCTGACAACAAGAAGCTGGAACCACCCAGCAGAAAGAACAATCTGTAGCTTCAGTGAAACCAGGAATCTGGAGCAAAATCCAAAGGCAGCAAGACCGAGTTTCCTCCTTTTAAGAGGGGGGTCTTAGGGCTGGAGGTGGGGGAGCGGCGGCTGGGTGAGTTGGGGAAACTGGGGGAGTGGGGCCCTGGGCTGCCCCTGGTGCTTCCATCCTCATGCACCTGGTGTCCTGGTCTCCCCGTGGCCAAGGTGGGTGTGTTCAACAAATCATTGTTTTGTTTTTTTAAGATTTATCTATTTTTGCTTACAGAACTGGGGTACAGGCTGAGGCTCAGGGGCGGTGAGAGGCTTCACCAGAGACAGAGTGGGAAGCAGAACAGGCAGAATGACAAAGTACACTGCTGAGGGGAGCAGCGGGCGGGTCAGGAGAGGTCTGCCACACCCTGTGGTCACCTCCGGGGCAGGTGGGAATCAAACTCATGCGGAAGTGGCTTTAGCTTCTCAGTGCTGTGCTTTAACCCACTGCACCACCAGGGAGGGCCTCAACAAATCATTTTAAGGTAAGGTGGAAGTTTCTGGAGACCAGGGTGTGCAGGTCCCAAGGGGCGGGCATGGAGGAGTTGCTGATTGGGATGCTGGGTTTGCAAGGGCACTTATCACCCCTCCCCCTCTGGGTCCCTCGGCATGACCAGCTGGACACCTTGTCCACTCAGCCTTTAGCCATTCTCAACGACGTGTGTGTGTGTGTGCGCGCGCGTGCTAAGCTGTTACTAACATAAGTGTATGTGTGCTAAGCTGTTACTAACATAAGAGGCACCTTTGCAGGTAGTTTCAGGAGTCAAATCCTGGCTTGCTGGTAGCGACCGTAGGTAACATTCTCTAAGTGACCAGACCCGCAGCAGAGGCCTGACCGGCAGTGCCAGAGCTGGGGTCCACCAGCATGGGCTGTCTCCATGGGGCAGGCTGTCTGTGTCCCATGTGGTGTGAGGACCTGCACATGTATGTGGCACCATTGACTTTTATGCCGAATCCAGAACATGCCAGCACAGTGACATCTAGGCGAGGGCTGGACTGAGTTCCCACCATGACACCAAGTCCATCTGCTGGTTCTGGCCACACCCTGGGCTCCTGGTGGACTCAGTTTGGGGGCAGCTGGGGGAGTGAGAGCAGAACTTTTCGACTTCTTGTTAACCTCCAAGGATGGCACAGTTAAGAGCCAGTGTTCCAGAAGAATTACAGTGTTCTGGATTGCAGTCCACGGCCCACGGCCTCCCTGTCTGCAGCGGGCTCCCTGCCCGTCCGTGTGTCCATCCCTGGAGGCAGCGGTGAGCCTGCCATACCTCCATTGTCCAGGGTCAGATGCAGCATCACACGTGAGGGAAGATGGCTCCTTGCTTGAACCTTCACCGGCTGGGCATCCAGTCCACTGACCCCTTCCTCCGCCGGGGGCCCCTCTTCCATCTACTCTGTTTGGGGGATCTTCTTCTGTGTCTCCTGAAGGCGACTTTGGAAACTGGAAGCAGAGGGATACTGGGTCCTCACTCGCCCCACCTTCGGAGGGTGATGACCCCAAGAAAGGGGATCCTGACACTCCCTGGCATCACAGGCAGCCGAGGTCCTGTTTTGAGGTTTCTCCCCCACTTGTTCCTCTGTTTCCAGTTCCCAAAGTCGCAGCAGGCGGGGTCTGCCCTCCTGTCACTGGGGCAGGCACCTTTCAGCTCCACCCCTTTCATCCCTGGGAGTGGAATTCAGAAGAGGACAGCGTGTCCATGTCCAGCTGAGTGTGCCTGGAGGGAACAGGTGGTCATCGAGCTGCCGGGCAGCCACGGCCAGCCCTGGGGGCGCCCGACCCTGTCCTGCCTCTGGTGGCTGCCCCAGCAGCGTAGGTGTGGGACTCATATTACCTCCCCACGTCAGAGGAGAAAGAGGGGCACAGAGTCACACAGCCACAAAGTGGGGAGATGGGGCTTCTGACCCCTCCGCTGCCACTGTGGCTTGGGTGAGTGTGTTGTGGTGTGCACGACTGCATCTTGGTTCTTCTCACCAGACAGCACCCCCACCACCACCCATGACAACCCAAAGTGCCCCCGATGTGGTCACGTGTCCCTGCAATGACCCCATGGAGAGCAACTGGCCAGCTCTCTCCCCCATGACTGAAGGACGCCAGGGTCCCCTCTTCCCACTCACCCAGGTCTGGCTGGAAGTCCCACACTCCATCACTTCTGGGCAGGCCCCCCCAGCACCGTGAGAAACCCAGAAAAGCAAAAGACACCCCTGGGGCAGCTCAGGGTGTGACGCACTGGCCGGCTGGCTCAGTAACCTGTGGCTCTCCTGCCCATCCTCCACGCAGGGCCAAGGTGAAGAAGGGGGTGAACATCCTGAGCGCGAGGAGCAGCGAGCCCCGGCAGTGGGACGTGCAGCGAGAGCTGGGGAGCGGGGGGAAGCACAGCACCGCCGCCGTGGTGTGCCGGCGTCTGGGGTCCAGCGCACGCAACAGGTAAGCGGCTCCCTGCACCGCCACGCAGCCGGGCAGCCCTTGCTGCGCCTGCCCTTGCCCACGAGGGAGGCCAGGGCCTCCAGGAGGCAGCCCCACAAAGCTGTTAACACAGCCTGGCGGCGGAGACACCAGTGGGCCCCACAGCCCACAGGGTGGGGCCATCTAGAGCTGTGATGTCTGCTCTGCAGGGTCCCTGCCTGCTCAGACCCCCACGGCCGTGGGCTGGTTCATCTCCCACCCCTGACAGTCAAGAGAGGCTCACCCTTTGCACGTCTTCAGGGTCCCTGGGGGGGGGGGGGGATTCCAGATGGGAAGTGGCGCCGTGCTCGATGCGAGAGCCTGTGTCAACATCTGGATTATTCCCTAGAGCAGTCGTTTTCCAAGCATAAAAGTCACACATCCTCATTGCGGAATATTTATTCAACCCAGTGACATAAGCAAAGACTGAAGTCACGTCTCCATGTCCTACTACCCAAGGGTAAACACTGCTGACATGATTTTGTCATTGATGAGGTCTGCCGTGGTCCTGGGTGGATCCGTTCATCTTATTAATGTATGCACCTATTCGGATTCTTAATCTCCTCTCGCCTCACTCGAAAACATCCACGTTGGACATCAAATATGCGTCATAAACATTTTGACGGCTTCATCATAGTCCATCCTGTGGATTTATATGGGTAATATAACCATATCCATACTTTGGGGCATTAAGTCCCGAGTCTTATTCTCATAGATGAGGCTACCAGAACCACCTCCAACATCGTCTTTGCTCGTTTCTCCTTTGGCTTCAGGTGACTTCTTAGAAGCCAGACATTCTGTCGTATTTCAAGGCTTTGATGCATTCTGTCGGGTATGTCCTTAAAGGTTCGGTACTCAGGGAAGAGGCTGCCAGAAAAATTCTCCATTTAGTTTCGAAACACTCAGCTCTTTTAACAAATTCCCACCCAGCCCTTCCTCTTGCGAATGCCAGCACAAACATCTGGTTCCCTAACAGCCTCAGTCGGACTGGGGGGGAAGGTGATGGTGACCCTAACCAAATGCCCGTGGGGTCGTGGTTACAGCTAAGGAGCAGAGGCTAAGGTAAATCTCCCACATCAAATGCACATAAAGTCTAATTAACCCACAAGATCAATGTTGATTATGCAAATAAAAGTGAATGTGTTCATTAACAGTGAATTTATGTATGTAAATAGCCCTTCTTGTCACCATCAGAAGGAGGCTCCAAGTGAGGGCGATAAAGACTCATTGTGACAAATCTGTCATGTTTCAAGGTTCTAGAACTCTCCTTGACCCACTGCGATTGCTGTCAGCGGCTCCCCCAGGAGGGAGTTACAGTGGTTCCAGCACCTGATAATAGGTCCAGGCTCCTGGCTCTGCCCACCTTTCAAATCCCACCTCTGGGTTCAGATGGGGTCTCGGGAGGCCTGGTTGACCCCATAGAGTTTTTTTTTTTTTTTTTTTTTTTTATGCTGTGTGTCTGAGGGAAATTTTGCCTCTCAGAGGCATGGACTTGGCGGGGCAGGGAGAGGTGAGCCGAGTTTCTGACGCCGCCACCCTCTCCAGTCTCATTCGCTGCTGCCCAGCTGCGCATACACCCAGTGGAACTGCTGACCCCGGAGTCGGGTCTTCCCGTGCTTGTTGAGGCCCACCCCTCACCTGCTCGGAGACCCCACAGCATGGAGGCGGCTGTGCTCTGTGCCAGCAGCACCCCACACCATCAGACCCTCTTCAAGGAGCCGAAGCGTTCCTGGCACCAAGTTACCTCAGCTCAGAGAAGGGCATCCAGAGAGAGGAATGGGGGGCTCCAGTACAGGGTCCCACAGAAGCCAGGCCACAAGTGCAAAGGAGGAGGACAGGCAAGGAGCAGGGAGCCCTGGGAGGAGATTGGTGGGGGGGGGGGCGGCAGCAGCTTTTCCATCTCTGCAGCCTCCATTTGGGGGTGCAGGCCCTGTCTGCCCCACTGCAGGACTTTCCTAGAACAAAGACTTTCCTAGAACAGCTGCAAATGCAGATGACTGGACAACCTCTCCAGCCTTTGCTCACATTCCAAAGTCACAATGCAGATCAAAGGAGCATGGCCCAGGAGCACACACCGCCAGCAAGCACTGCACCCTGGCCAGGCCAAACGGCTCAGGCTGCTGCTGAAATCTGCATGTTTTCTTTGGGGATCAATGGCCTGTCTTTCTCATAGCTGCCAGTGGCCCCCGCATGGGGTCGTGGGCTCTACTGCGACACAGAGCTGAGCTTAGCACTTTCAAAGCAGAGAGGGGCAGGAGGGATGGGGCTGTCTCAGGCACGGTGGGCTGTGTCCACCCAGGGCCTCAGGAGGACATTAGCAAGCCCCACGACGACCCTGGCTGCAAGCCTCATCTCCAGGTTCTCAGAGTCCCCACCGCTTGCTCTTCTGCGTCTCTGTCCTATCCACTAAGCAGCGGCATTTATGGGAATGTCACTGGTGCAGCCACCTTGGAAAGCAATCTGGGTTCAACTTAAAAAGACATAGATGGGACTAACATGTAATCCAGAGACCCCCCCTCCCGCGGATCCCCGAACACGAAGCCATCCACACAGGAAATCACACTCTCCAAGGTGCTGACTGGGGCACTCAGTACAGCATGACGGGGCCACCTCCCTGCCTGCAGGGGGAGCACAGGGTCAAGAAGAAGGGTCCGTCCACGCCGCAGAAGCTACTAACCATAGAGGACAAAACGCTGCCACTGACAGCGGAATGAGGGAGGTCCGGGGAATGATGTGCGGTCCAGCAAGGCAGGACAGAGGTAATGAAACACAGTGGACAATTCGACATGGGATTGTGGTATAGATTTTTAGGGTGTTGCTGGCAAGCCACCCCAGAAACCCCTGACTCCCCAGTGTTCTTGGAGTGTCTCTCTCCATGTGTCCTGGAGGGTCAAAGTGTTCTCTTTAAATCATGGGACTTCACGTGGCCACCATCTTTCAGAGCTTCCTATCATTCCTATAATAAAATCCCAACCTCTGACCATGACCTTCAGGCCACTGAGGGTCCCGGCTCCCCTTCCCCAAGTTCACCTCACATGTGTGTCTCATCACTCACCACCTTTCTTACACCTCACAGCCATGCGTGTTCCTGCCACAGGGCCTTTGCATCTGCTCTTCCCTCAAACTGGATCATTCCCCCTTAGATTTTAGCTCCAATGTCATGTTGCCAGAGAGGCTGATTGTGGCGACTCACACCAATCACCTGTTTCATTTTCTTTCTATAATTTACCAGAGGGAAATTGTCATTGTGTGTGTTTACCACCCAACCTCCACCCCACCCCCAATATGTGAACCCCAGAAGGCAGGTGGGATATACCACCTCTGTATTGTCACAGCTCATGTCAGTTCCTGGCACAGAGTGGGAACTAAAGTACTAGCTGAGTGGATAATCACACAAATGATCTTTGCAACAATATGTTGAGCTGGATTACCTTGTCTCCAGATTACAGAGGAGGAATTAGGACCAGAGGCTTCTCTGTGAAAAGGAGAAGGGACATTTTCTGAATGAGAGGCGTGAGCAAGTGATAGGATGCCCTGAGTTAGCATGAGGTAGCCACTGTCAGAAAAGGGACCGACTCAGAGTGGGTGTGGGCTGGGAGGATGGCACCCCAGGGCCCAAGATGGCTGCCTCAAGGCTCTAGAAGGAGCATGCAGCAGGAGCACCCCTCCGTGGTGCCCCCACCACCTCCCACACCACCTCCCTTCCAGCTCTCTCAGCAGTGGTGATAAAGGAGAGGGACGTGGTGTTCCTCCCGTCAGGGGTTTATGAAGCAATTTGTTTATGGCCCTGTTGTAGAAGTACCGCTGAGTCTAAAGACATTTTCGGAAGACGTCCTTCCAGTTGGCAAGAACTTCACTACTTTGCCCAGCCTGAAACTTTCTAATCATGAGGAAACATTACTTCATCCTGACATTCCTGCCAGGCAGCCTCATGGGACCCAGGTCCTGCAGGGGCCAGAGAAGCTCAGACTCCTCCCCCAAATAACTTGGGAACTAAGGAGTGTCCAGGTGTTGTATTCTGAAATCCTACTCACCTTGACTATAAAGAAACTTCTGGTCGCATAGCCCTGAATAAAGTACCGGAGTGGGAGCCTGAACTTTTGTATTTATGTTTAGTAAACAATTAATTAAGTGCCTGCCAGACTTTGAGCACATCCAGCTTCATAAGAACGACAGGGTTGTCCCTCATGGAATTCATTGTCCATTTGAAAGGTTGGAAAATAACTAAATAAACACACAAACATTCCCTTGCAACATTGGTCAATGTTAGGAATAAGAGATGTGTACTATTGAAGAGCCCGCTATAAAGGTGGGTATTTCTTAAGGAATAGATCAGTTGTCTATAAAAACATTTATTTAAGAAATATAAATTAAAGGAAATGTTGTTTCTGACACAGAAGCATCTAGAGTCAGTTCTGTTCTTCAAGACCATCAGAAGCCCAGGCTGCTTCTTTCTAATTGTTCTGGTGTCACCAGGGCCTGTGCTGCTCATGTGAAGCAAGATGGCACCTTCACTCAGGGACCCAAGATGGCACCTTCACTCAGTGACCCAAGATGATTGCACCAGTGCCCAGAAGCCCAGACACTGGGACATGGAGGACAGGGAGGGCAGTGGATGCCAGAACATGAAGCATTTTTGTCTTTACCTGAAGAACACTAGTTTGCAGGTCAAAAATCAGAATTCAAGCCTGTTCCACCTTCTGTTGAGAGTTGTCCCCAAGACCAGAGACCCAGACTGCTCTTTCCAGACCTCCTTGGTACCTGACAGCTCCATTCTGAGACAACAATCGAGCCCACTAAGTTGGGGAAATAATTTTAGGTTTGTTTCAGGAGAAATTGCAGCAGCATATATGGGAGGGTGGGAAAAAAACATGGAGGGATTATTCTAATAACTTCAAGTGAGTCCTGCAGACCCCTCCTTGCTTCTCTCCCCAAAGGCGCAGTGACAGGGTGTTGTTCTGCAGCGGGTCCTCCTTGCCTTT